GGGAGTTTAACGGATGAGTGAATACCTGGGGGGCATCTAATAAGGCTTTCAGCAACTCATTCCCAGGTCTAGTCTGAATAGTGTTCAGTCACAGCTGGGCTGCAGAAACAGAGCGGCAAAAACCTCAGCGCTCACTGATGGATTTACTGCTCCCTGCAGGCATTACAGGATGCTGCCCCCAAATTGCGCAGGCATATGCAGCTCCCTCACGCCGAGTTTTGGGCAGGGGGAATAGACAGGACTCCTATGGGCCACAGGCCTGAGTATGATAAGCCACTGCTGGGTCACAGCCCCAGCGTGGCACCTGCCAGCATGGGGCTTGCAAACCCTTGCACACCAAACATGTCCCCTGGTCTCTAATAACCCCTCTAAAGTGCATCCTCGAGGCTGCTGTCACCACCATGGCCAGTCTGGAGGGTGGCAGGTCAATGGGCAAATGGAAGACCAACAAATCTGCTTGCAGAAGTCACACCCCGAAGGCTGAAGAGCTGGGGCATGGAGCTGCATGCTAGCTGCCGACCACCGCTGCCTGTGCTCTGGGGAGGACACACAGATGTCTGTTCCACATTCAGCTAGCAAGGAGGACCCTGTCTTGCCTAGGGGCTCGTCCTTGGCCTCCTGGCAGGCACAAAGACAGTAGTGTGTGTGTCCAGGGAGGAAGTTGGGAGCTGGTCAGAGAGAGAGAGAAGCCCGTTGCAGCTGCAGCTGTTTGCACAATGCAGAGCGTGTCCCGGCTGCACTCACATGCTGCCTGGTCCGTGGCATGAAAGCAAGGGGTCATCGATGGGGAACCCTCATTTTGCACTCTGAGAAACTCCCCCACTCCAAATTCTAGAAGAAAAAACATCAAAATGGAATGGTCAGAACAGAGTCCTTCAACCTGGACACCTGCCTAATGAGACTTTCCTGTGGGATGGAGACTGAGGAGAGGCTTAGACAACCAGGTCTAATGCTAAGAACGCCAGGTGGGGCTGTTTGAGCCATCCTGCTTTGCTCTCAGCCTACAGGGATTCAGGGTTTCAACAGAGAGGCAAATACAGGTGACTAGTGGACCTGTCCAAGGGGCTAGACCAGAGGAAATTGCAACACACACCCCCAAGTGCCCCCAGGTGCCGTTCCCAGCCAGTCCCCGTCTCCTACAGCAGGTAGGACACAGGGGGCTACCAGGGTCTACAAAGCGAATTCTCCTTAAGTGAGAGAGAGTGCAAAGGATACACAGCCAGGGTTGAGCATTGTGCCTGCTGGGCACCTGCCGCACATAGGGCAGCCCAGGGAGGCACAGCACATGCACTGCCATTTGCCATGTCCGCAGACCTGACTGCCACATGGCTTGGCGTCCGGCATGGGCTGAGGCCACGCTGAACCTGAGAAGCAGTCAGGTACAGTATAACATGCGTGACATGCAGGCGGTGTAGTGGTATGGGGGGGAACTTGCTGTATGCAACGCCGGTGAAACCCCAGGGTCAGTGGGATGTAAACAGGAATTACCAGCTGCAGGTTCCTGCTAAATAGCCCTGGCCCCGACTCTTCCCTGCACGGCAAACAGGATGCTGAGAGATCCTGCTGCGGAGGAGGACAAGCCTCGTAGTGGCGAGGGGAAGGGGATCAGAGTAATCCGCTCGCAAATATGTGATTCCTCCCAGATCTCAGTGTCATGAACTCGGCAGACAGCACAGGGGCAGAGCTGCCTTTGTACAAGGAAACTCTTCTCTCCAGAGCCACTTTTTGAAAGCTCAGCTGGACCTGGGAGCCTGGATCAGACTAAGGATGACAGAGGAAGCTTTGGAGACTGTTGTGTGCGTGTGTTCCCCAGCTGTGGCCATTTCTGGCATCAGGCAAGGCCCAGCTATTACATCAAACTCTGCTTAGTTGGTGTGACAATGGTGTAACCCAAAAGCCACTAGTCCTATCCACACTGAGCCACTGTCACCTAAGAAACACTGGCACTTGTTCAGTCTGGGGTCCTGTCACCACCCGTGCTGGAAGGAGACACCAAGGGAGGCAGGGAACAGGCTGAATACAGCAACATTGCCCTGAATGCATTCCCTGCCTTCAATGATGTCAGGCATCTGAGGGTGGAAGCAGCAACCAAACACTCAATAGCCCATCATGGATTTTCTTTTTTTTTTTTTCCTCTTGGAATCAATCTCAAGCTCTGACCATCCTGCCCTGGATCTATTCCAGTTCCAGTTAGCACAAGGCCTTCTGCCACTCCTTGAATTTACAAAGTGGGGTTAAAAAATAATAATAATAAAATGCAAGCCAACTCAACCAGGCCTGGATAAAGTTTCCATCACATTCTTGAAGAGATGACCTTGCCAAGGTAGGAAAAACTAAGTCAGAGCTTTGGAGAAGGAGGAAACACCAAGAAAGGTGGCTCTCCCCACCCAGCAGCTAGGGAAACGTGGAAAGGAAGGCAGTTTCAGCCAGACCATTTTATCTCTAAGACCAGATGGCTTTAAATGCTTCCCCAGAGCTTGGAAAGGGCCAGGCTCTGCTTTGAATTGCTTTTTGTACCACCTCATTAGAAAGTAAAAGGGAAGAAATGAACAATCTATAACTTTGTGGCATCGGAAAACAGCTCCGTTAATCCCGTTTCCTTCCCCAAGCTTACTCAGGGCAGGTCGTCCAGCCTCAGGGCCACATCACCTAATCTATTCATTGTTGCCCTGCAATCAGGAGCCTGGGCACAAGCCCAAAGGGCAGATGCATCCTCCAGGACGTTATTAATAAATTGGAATAGCCTAGGTTGTTAAACCTGACCCCTTAATTACAATGCTCCCAGCACCCAGCTTCTGTTTGCTGCTGCAGATCCAAGCAGTGGCCACCTCCCAAACCTCAGCGTGTGGGAGCAAGGGCAAGAGGGGCAGAGCATCGCTGGGGGAGCAGATGAGAGGAGAGGGAAGGTGCTGCAAGGAGAGGGACCCTCTGCAAAGCCCAGGGTTGGGGTACCTGTGGCACCCCTTGCACCCCAAGCAGCAGGCCTCTAGGCTCCTTGGCCTGTCTGAGAAAAATGTGGGCAAATCTGACAAGATGCAGAACTTCTTCCTTTCCGGGAGGGCTGGCACACGTCACACCCGTGCATCTGGGACCGGGAGCAAAGCCCACAGAGGGCTCAGGGCTTGCTCACACCTACAGCTCAGCCTGGCTGGTCCACAAGTGACCACTGCTTTACCTGCCAGCATTGCCACTGAGCTGTGTTTTGCCACTTAGTAAAAACCTCCTGAGCTTGGGAGGAGCCCAATGGCACTGACAGACACTCATCCACAGCACTCAGGCTCGCAGTGCCACCCAGCTCACTACCAACCCTTTACCTCTGCCTCCTTCTCCCCAGGAGGACTATGTCTTCTCACAGCCAATCTCCATCTCGTGTCCAAGTGGAAGGAAAAATACAGCCTCTTGCGAGGGTCAGGACTAGATTTCAGGTTCTTTCAGTGCCTGCTCCCATCAGGGGTGGGGGTCCCATGGCAGAAGGCAGCCTTGGGCAGTACATAAGGCAGGCAGCATTTGGTCTGTTGCTTGGACCCACAGCTCCAAGGGTGGTAATGGGTGGCTTAGCACAGGGTCAATGGAGTCGGGTAAGAGATAAAAAAGTTAACAGGACAGAAAGAAAACCAGCAACCCCTAGCTTAGTTTCTCAGCTGAGGAGTGCCAAATTTTAGCAAACTACACACTACAGGTGTCCCCAGTCTGGAGCTATGCACAGCTGGCGCTCAGCATTGCTGCCCTGCAGACGTGGCTGGGGACATGAGCATCTGGCTGAGGCCAACCCACCCCTGCCTTCCAGCTGGGCAAGGTGATCCAGTGATCAACATTTCCGCCATCCATCCCCAAAATGATCTGGCACCCACAGAGCAGAAGGGCTTTAGGGGCACTTAGGAAAATAGCTGTAGGACACAGAAGTGGGGAAGGGAGCTGTGGAGCAGCTGGTCCAGCACAGAGCCAGCCAGCTCTCCAGGTGGCAAAGGCTACGAAACCAGCAGTGCAAAGATGCTCTGGGGTACACGGGCAGCCAGCCCTCCAGGACAGCTAGGGCTGCTCATCCCAAATTAATCCACAGATGATGCTGCCCTCTTTTGGGGTCAGTGTGACTAGCAGAAATTCAGGGAAATTTGGAGAGATCCAAGACCGGTGCTTTTGGGGGCTCAAAACGCCACACAGGGGTTCTCAAACGTGGTGACTTCCCATACCCGTTTCAGGGGACATCCCAGGGACTTTTCCCACCGGGAGCCAGGCTGCTGCGCCTGTGGGTGGTCCCTGAGCACAGCCTGGGTAGGGAAGAGCAGGGCCAAGCTTGGGAGCAGTCCCTGAAGGACAGGGAGATGTTTGCTGGGATGAAGAGAAAGAAGACAAAGGCCAGGGGCTGGGAAGGTCTCCTGGGCCTGGGGAGGACCGTGGGGTCTTTACCAACTCTGAGAGCTGCTAGCGTTTCATCTTAATATTAACGATTTCCATAAATTAATTCAGTTGATAGTAAAATAAGTTCACAACCGGTTTAACTGAGTGAGCTGTAAGAGGGTCCTGTGCTTCCCCAGCAAGGAGGAGCCGGCCCCGAGCGCTGCCAAGCCCCAGGGTGACACCGAGACGTCCCGGTGGCCCCTGCAGCCCCCGGGGCTGGGGGCCGGCCAGCCCTGCCTGTACCGGCCAGCCCTGCCTCTGCCGGGCTCCTGCCTGTGCCGGGCTCCCGCCTGCACTTCCTCCTACCGCTGGCACCTCCCCGCAGCCCTGAGCACAGCCAGGACGCGGTGGCCCGCCCCGGCTCCGCGGGCTACCCACCGTACGGCGGGGACCCTAGGACTACTTGCCCTGCCGCGGGATAGCCCTTCCGGCAGCCAGCAGCCCTGGGACACCAGTGCCATCTCTTCTGCGCAGGTGACGGGCGGCAGCAGTGAGACCCGGCTCCCCCGGGGCACACATCCCCCTCCCCGTTCCCCGGACCTCTCCGGCAAGCAGGAGTTGGCGACCCGCACCTCGGAGCCCGCTTCGCCCACCTCTCCAGCATGCGGACGCCGACAGCGATGATCGTGGGGCTGGTGCTGTGCCCCTGCGGGCTCCTGCTGACCTTCACAGGCACGGTGGCACCCAACTGGAGGCAGGTGAGCCACATATCCGACCAGCCCATTGACTTTGTCTTGGAGCAGGGCATCTGGGACATGTGCAGTGAGCAGCGGAGCAGCCACGACCGCCTCTGCGGGCAGGCTGATGAGCTGGGCTACTTCGAGCAGGTGCCTGTGCGGGTGGCCCAAGGGATGATGCCGACCTCACTGGCGTTCACCCTCCTGGGCTTGGCGGTGGCTGCCCTGGGGGTTCGCTGCTGGCAGAAGGAGCCACGGCACCTGGTGGCTGGCGTGGCAGGGCTTGTGCTGTTCATCTCAGGCCTGCTGAGCCTTGTGCCTGCCTCCTGGTACACCCATGAGCTGTGGACACTGCCCGCACCAGCTGGTGGCACACTGGTCGCAGGCTACAGCTTGGTGCTGAGCTACTTGGGAAGCTGCCTGGAGATCCTGGGGGGGCTGGCCCTCACCCTCAGCTTCCACCACTGCTGCAAGGAGCGCAGGGCCCCCAAACTGCCCCCCACCCCCGCGCTGGAGGATGGGCCGTGGTCCGCCACTGGGACTTACTACAATCCCTGGGACGTGCTGGGGGATGAGCGAGACAAACAACAGAGGAGCACCCTGCCTTGTGACTCGGACTTGTAGCCCCAGCACAGGGACAGCAGTGGGTGCCGGCCAGCCCACCTGCCTGGCACTGAGAGCAGCACTGGCTCCTGCCCCTCCAAGCCATGCCCTTCTCTCTTTGGGCACCTCAGAGCAGGCTGTAAACAAGACCAAGGACCAGGCTTGAATCTCTGCAACCTCCTCAAAAGCCTGCTGTGCTCCAGGTCCCTCAACTGTGCCAAAGCCATGCTGGGTTGAGGACCAGCCCTGGCTCCAGTCCCTCCATGCTCATCCTCCCACACCATGCAACAGCTCGGGCAAAGGCAGCTCCAGTGTTCCCATATGAGCAAGGTGTAGCGCTCAGGGCTGGGAAGAGGGGAGGGGAGCACCTCCCACCTGTCTCTGCTCAACTCAGGGCTGTGGAAACAGCAAAATAAATGAAGAGGAACAGGTCTGCGCTGTGGGATGGTTATGGGCTTTCTGCCAGGCAAGCTGGGCTGAAAGCCAGTGGGCACAGCTAACCCAGCTCCCCCCTGCTTTGCCTGAAGCAGGGAGGAAAGGTCTGTAAAAAGGGACAAGTAGCTTTTATAGCACCTTCCCCAAGGACTTTGACCCCATAGTCAAAAATCTGCCCTGGAAGAGGTTTCTCCTTGCTTGAGCACAGCCACTTCAGGAGGGAAAAAAGAAGAAAAAAAAAAAAAGAGATCCCAGGGGGAAAAAGAAATAGCATATATTTCCCCTTTCATCATTTAGCTTGGTGCAAGGCAGTAAAACCAGTCTCACTGGTTTATAAGGGACACTCAGGAGGTCAGAACTGCTATAAAATCCTGGTTGACACCCTGAATAACAGGTCAAAAGCTGAGCCAGGTTCCTTGCAGAACTATTCAGCCAGATTTTTACCCCAGGTGAGCCCAAAGCACCCTGGTCAGCAAGCTAAGCCTTGCTGCAGAGGGACAGTGAATCAAGATTCCCTGAAGTGTGGTTAAGGGATAGTACAGGATGCACCCTGCAGCAGGGGATCAGATTCAGGTGGCTCAGAGTGTATGTTGGGGCTGGAGACTTCCTAAACCCCCCCCCCCCCAAAGCTTTTTGCTCTGGCCTGTAAGTTCCCTAGAGCTTAGAGATCTGGAAAGAGCAAACCAGCCTCCCCTCCCCAAACCACACACAAACCACGATGGCACCAGAGACGCTGCACAACGTTCCTTTATGAAAATACAGTGTTGGGGCTAGATGGTCCCTTCCTCAGTGGGGCTGGCAGCTCCTGCAGAGATCACAGATGGGTGGATCAGGGATAAATCTGAGCCAGACTCCTTGGGCCCACCCCACACCTTGGCACAGTGGCTCCAGCCACAGGCAGAGCGAGACAGCCCCTGTAGCAGCCAGACCCCAGCCACCCCCAGGTCTTGCCCCTCTCCCCCAGCAGGAAGGCAGAGCTTGCCTCAAGAGTGGGCACCATGCCAGCACTGGGTTTGGGAAGGGATCTGCATATCAAGGGTCTTTGGGGCATCCCAGGGTGGCAGGGGGGTCCCTACCAGGGCGTGCTCCAGATGGTGCTCACCTCTTTCCCATCGTAAGCTTCATTCACAAAGGTGTCACTCTTGGGGGGAAGCTCTTCCTCCTCATCATCCTCTTCCTCGGGGTCGCTTTCACGGTGGTACAAGGTCAGCACCCGGGTGGAGGCAGTACTTGAGATCCAGGGGAGGAAAAAAACACACACTGAGGATGGCATGGCCATCTCCTAGAGGTGGGGCAGATCCCAAGGTCCTGCCACAACCCCTGCCGGGAGCTTTCCACATAGCCCAAGAGCACCCCAGGACACCACGCCGTCCCTGGGCAGGGAGACCCTGTCCCTCTCCATCCGCAGGTGTACCTGGCCCAGGCCAGCCCAGCCCCAGAGCTCACCTCCTCCGTCTGTCCCGCCTCCGCATGTAGGCCAGGGCCCCTACAGCAGCAGCAGCGAGCAGCAGGAGCACGGCCACCCCCAGGGCAATAGGGCCTGCAACAGGCTGCACCTCTGCCTCCTCGCAGTAGTCACCACGATAGCCCAGGGCACAGTGGCACGTTACTCGCCCAGCCTCGATGGCACACTCCCCGCGCAGGTTACACGTCTCGCTGCTACATGGCATGGCCCCCAGCACCTCCTCGGTGCTGGGGGGTACCAGGAAGGGCTCTCCATGCTCCTGGGGGCCGGGGGCTGTGGGCAGGCTGGGGCCAGGCTGCCGAGGCTTGGGTGCAGCTGTGGATAAGGCTGGTTTCTGTTCTTCCACATGGGACATCACTGATGGTGCCGCCAAGGGGACCTGCGTCCCTACCTCCACAGAGGGGCCTGGAGGGATGGGCATAGGTCAGCAGAGACCCAGGTGAGACCGTCCTTCCCAAACTGGGGGAGACTGGGCAGGCTGCCCCTGTGCCCAGCCAGGATGCCTGCACACCCCGGCTGTGGGCAGGCACTCACAGTCAGACTCATCGGAGCCATCAGCGCAGTCAGGGTGTCCATTGCAGACCTGCTCTCCAGAGATGCAGGTCTGGAGGTCAGGGCAAGCCTGGAGCGGGGCCGGGCAGGGCAGTGCCAGCGTGCACGCCACCCCACGCACCAGGTGATAGCCGGGGGAGCAGCGGCACAGCCGCCCCGCAGGGTTGGGCAGGCAGAGCTGGGCACAGCCCCCGTTACTCTTCGCACAGCCATTGGTGCCTGCCAAAAAAAAAAAAAAAAAGCACGTGTTAGCACGGCCACCACAGGGCACAGCTCACCCCCCAGCTACCAGGCTGGGTCAGCCCCAGACCCACCTTCCTGGGAGAACTGGCTGTAAATCCTCATGGCTACCAACTCCTGCTCCATCGGGAACCACCAGCTCTCGGCCCGCTCCAGCCGGCTGTGCCAGATCTTGCTGGAGCCTGGAGACACATGGGGTCAAGCACTGCTCCACCTCCTCCCACAGGGGTGGCCGGGATGGGAAGTGGGGTCCCCCAGCCTGCCCTTCACCCTGAGGAGGGGCAGCCTGCACCTCACAGGGACTGTGTCCTGGTGCAGGAGGAGGAGCTGGACAAAGCATAGCAAATGGACTCACCGTTGGTTGAGGTTGTGCTCCAGAGCAGAAAGCCTTCTCCAATGGTGAAAAGTGAGAGGCCATGCAGCCCTTCCCGCACCACCCGGAAGTGGGATCCGTCCAGCTCGACACTGCTGATGGTGCCTCTCTCTGCAGGGCACAGATGCAGGGGACATCAGAAGTGGGGGGAACAGAGGGCTCTGGGCTGCCCCTCGTGGCCGTGCCCTGCAGATGAAGCACCCACACCCCCACTACCCCCTGCAGCACCTCAACTCAGCCCACACTCACCCCGGTCCGCCCAGTACAGCCGGGTACCAGCACCCCCGAAGGTGAGGCCAGTGGGAGCCCGGGCTCTCCTCCAGACCGCTCTGCGGCCACTGCCGGCCCAGGCCACAC